TTTTTCCTTTATTGGGTAGGGTTATTTTTAAACTTCTCAGTCGAATTTAAAGCCAGGGGATCTCCTCGTGGTCTCCTGCCCGCAGACTAACAGTTGGCCAAAGTTTCCCTGGAACTTTGAGGTTAACCAAGGTCCAAATCCCTTCCAGGGAAGACGCGTGTCATCCAATCTCAAGAACAGGAGACCAAACCCTCTTTTTGCTGATTCCTCCCCCATTTGACTCTGCCAACAAACCACAAATCACATCTTCTGTTCTGTTTTAAATTTAAAAATCTAAAAAAAATTAAATTAAAATTTTTAATTAGATAATTTTTTTTTAAAAAATTGTAATTTTAAAAAACATCTGTAATTCAAAAAATTTCAATTAAAAATGGTACTTTTGTACAAAAATAATTTTTATTTTTTAAAAATTAAGTTTTTTAAATTTACTTCTTCCAAAATAAACCTCTTCAAAATCATTTTACTAGTTTTTGTTTAAACATAATTTTAATTCTTTAAAAATAATTGAAGCATATTTTAATTTAAAAATATTTTATAAAGTATTTTAAGGTACATAATTGTTTTTTTAAAAATGGAAATTTTTAAAAGCAGGTAAATGTAATTTTAAAAAAGATTAATTAAAAAAATAATTGTACTCTTGTACAAAAAGTTTAATTTAAAAAAAAATTAAATTCTTAAAAGAATGTGTCTTAAAAATACATTTCTTAAAAATAATTTCAACCAGTTTTTCATTTAAAAATAATTTTAATTAAAAAATGTAATTGTAATTTAAAGAAAATAGTTTATAATTAAAATAAAAATAAAACTTATGGAGGTGTCTTTTAGCTCCCTAAAGGCCTTTGAATCCCCTCAAAGGAAAATAAAATAATAAGTTCCCCCTGACAGGTGTCCATCAAGCCCTTCCTGGCAGGAAGAAGGACAGAAAATTCACACAATCACACAACACGCAGCCAGTTTTGGAAAAAAAAAATTTTTTTTTTATTAGAAATATTAGGCAGACCTTCCGCTAACGGCTTCAATAACGTTAAGTCTGTTGTTTCTGTCTGTGTGTGTGTGTGTGTGTGTGTTTTAAATAAAAACTTCGTGGCAACCACATCCAGGCTTGGCCAAATTTGCCACAAAGCATCCGTACATTCTGGTGTGCTCTCTGTTCGAAGCTTGCTGCCTTCATCCTTCGCCGGATGGAGATGCAATGCAACTTCTCGGTGGTTTTGCAAGTTTGAGGGCAAACGTCGAGCCCGTGTCAAGAAAAATAACCTGGTTGAGGAAGGGGGGGGGGGGGGGAGAAGAGAGAGGGAAAAACCGCATCTGGCAAATTTGGCACATGTGCAAAAGTGTTTTTTTTTTTTTTAAAGGAGGACAGAGAAAAGAAAACTCAGAAACCACGAAGGAGTGAAAAAAACCATTACAGTAAAAATAAACTCTGGGTCGTAGAAATGGATGGCCCTGCAGAAAACCCATTAATACGTTGTGTTATCTCAAACTTGTTGACTTAAAGAAGTGTGGACTTCAACTCCCAGAATTCCCCCAGCCAGCCTTGCTGTCTGGAGGAATTCTGGGAGTTGAAGTCCACACCTCTTTAAGTCAACAAGGCTGAGAGATATTGCATTTATGCCTGGAGTACCAGCATTTCTGGGCTCAGGAGTAAGTGGGAGTGCCTTGTAAAGGGCTAGCGTGCTGCTGAACGCATTTGACAGAGCAAATCTGTTGGATTCAATGGTATCCGCCGGGTAGGATCGAAATAATGATCGCTGAGGTGGTTCGATCCTGCTGTGGCGGCCACCATTTTGACAATTTGACCGCATCTGGCCAGCTCCTGAGGAGATCGTGTAGACAAGGGATGGTGCTGGTGAACCGTCGGAGAATGGAGAATGCTGTCGTTGAACGCCCAGGTCTCTGCCATCTCAGGGGTCAAAAAAGTCAAGATGGCCACTCGGCCCATGCAATTGGAGCCCCGCCCCTTTTTGTATTGCAACACAGGGCTTGGATTGCAGGCGATGGCCGCCATCTTGTCTCTTTTGGGAGGGTTGTTCTCCCTCGGTGCGTTGTGAGCAGTGAATGCGTACCCTAACTTGATCCTAACACGATGCACTTTCTGGATCCGGGTGTGCAAAACACCCAACACACAATCCCTGAAGCGTGTTTTGCACAGACATGCATGGGATGTACCCTAAAACCTGTGTTGGAAAAGAGGTAGTCGTGAAAAGTCAACATTAATCTATTTCTTCTTATCGCCCGCCTGGAGACGTTCAGAGGGGAAGCTCTACAAATTGAACAAATGAAATAGGAAATAAATTTAGTGACCAAGGAGGAAGAGGGTGGGGGAGCTGTCCTAGGACAGGCTGGCTGGGCGATTCTGGGAGTGGAAGCCCACCCTTCTTAAAGAAGCTTCTTTTAACGGGTTTACAATTCTGGAAACTAATTATGGCTTCTAGCTGGCTTGTTTGGAAGAAGCAACGTTCTACATTTTTTTCTGGCTTATCCAAAAAGAGATGAGCCCTCCTGCAGGACGGTGACCCCATTAATCTGGGGTGATGGCAGAGAGGCAATTTAGCCCAGCCCTGGGGAAGTGAATCCTGTATTTTTCTTAAAGCTTCTAGTCCTCAAGAGGTGGGAGCAGGGAGAATCTGGCCGCAATCATGAAGATGTCCAGTGAAAGAAAACAGAGCCCTTTCCTGAGGTTGCCAGCGAAAACCCTTCTGCAGAGATCTTCAAACTGAGGCCAGACAGCCATCTATCTAAAATGATTTGGGGGCGAGGGGTGGACTAAATTACCTTGGAGGACCCTTGCAGTTCTAAGGTTCCTTTGGAGAAGAGAAGGGAAACTCAATAGGACAAAACCGGGGGGAAAAAAACAAGCGCGGAGCAATTTTGCAGTCCCGTATCCTTTCGTTCTACCTTTCTCCAACCGGACAGCCATTTCCAGCCCAGCCATGTTCTACTTTCCTTAAGGCACATGCAAATTCCCTTATGTGGCACCTTTGCTTCTCTTTGGATGGCTACTCTGACCACCCGCTTTCCAACCCGACCTCTGACCTCTCCCAGAGATGCCAACCTACACTTTTGCAACCATCAAGGCTTCTCCTCAAACCTTCTCGACTTTTAACCGCTTTCTCGCTTTGCGTCTTTTACGCCTGGAACTCCTTCCTCTACACAAGACTGGCCACCCTCTTAAGACTGCCACACTCCTGGCACTGGCCCTTGAGTCACCCCTGCCCAATTTTCACTCTTCTGTCACCCAGCGTCCCGGAGAACTTTCCCGCTGTGCAAAGCTAACCTTCTCGGCCGCGAGAATCTGCTGCGCGTGCCGACTTCCAATTGTGCACCATTTTCTACGGGGAAAATGGTGGCGCTCCTGAGACCGTGGGTTTCACTTCCTCTGGTTTGAGACAAACCAAACTTTCCGCAAGTTTATCTCGAACACCTCGGCCACTCCCGTCCTCCAGTTTTACCCACCTCGTCGACATCCGGAACAAAGACGGGTCCCAGTACTGAGCTCATGTAGACAATGGAGGGGACGCAAACAAGGTTTGCTGAGCAGATTTTCAAAACAACGATTCCCCCTTTAACAACAGGGATGTTGTGTGTATATGTACGGTATGTGTGTGTGTGTGTGTATGTGACCGCAAGCCCTCACTGACACCACCTGGATTGCTAAGTTCCCTGACTTGCATCCACGTGCCCATCTGCAGATGATCCCAGTAGCATGGCAGGAACACCACCGAGCAGCATGACAATATCACCACTGATAGCTACTAGGTGTCTACTCCCAGAGGGTTGGTGCCTATCCACAACTCCAATTCATGCCATCTTTTTACCCGAGGGGAGATCCTGAAACCCAAAGGTACCCTATGGTGTTTTGCATTCAGGCAACGTTGCACAGCGCCCGTACTACTTTCAACAACATTTGGACACAACGCTTTCTACGTTCCACCCATTTCTGAGATGCCCGTTGTGGTCGCCAGGACCGGCACACGTCTTCCTTGGCTCAAATCTAAGCCTCCCATCCAGACAAAACCACAAAGCCATCCTTAAAAGGGCACTGAAAAGGGGCAAAGGGTCCCTTGATGGACTCCGACGTTCTCAACCACTCCAGACAGCAGCAGTACGCTCAGCTAGACACCAACATAAATCAGCCAAACTCTTATTATTAATGACGCCGATGACTCGCCGAAGACGAGTCAGATGGAAGACACCGGGCCCCTCAATCGCAGAGATCCTGAACTTAGGAATCACCCAACGTTTTCTGAATTTGCTCCTGAGCTTTTTTTTTTTTACCGGTTGTACGTGGCGGAGGAGTTCAGCATGCAACGTGTTTACCCATCTCTTAAGTCACCAGCGGCCCGCGGAGGACAAACTCTGCTGAATGAGTTTCGGCCTGGTTTCGTTGCTGTTCATGTAGCAACAAAACAACAGAGGAGCCGCCGGCTGGCGAAAAGACATCGCAGCTGTAGCAGTGGTGGGTTTCCCCCCAAAAATTTCCTAACATTTCGGCGGGAGAGTTTGCAACTCACTTTCTGTGTGTCAAACAGCTGATGCGCGGCAATCCGCCATGCCCCGCGGAAGCAGCCGAGCTTGAAAACCTGGAAATAAAACTGATCATTGGAGCGAATCATTTCGCTCGCAAATGATCCTCGGAGCTACTAGTTCGGTCGAACCGGGCCGAACCGGTAGAATATCACCACTGAACCGTAAGTGTTGGGGAGCTCGGCCCCACTTCCCTCTCCCACAATTCTTCCTGTTTCTTGGGGGGGTCTACAAACCCTGTTTCCACATGGCCTTCCACCCACCCCCAACAACTGCATGCCAAGGAGAATCGGAAAACGGCCGCCTCTTCGTGTCGCGGTTGCAAAAGAGAAACCAGCTCGTGTCGTGTCCTCGTTCCCTAGTTGACACCCCCCCACCTGCCATTTTCACAGCTCTCCCCCCTTCCCCCCCCCATTGTAGAGGGGTCAATCCAGATTGGGTGGGCCACCTTACAAAACAGAGCCTGCTCCGAGCCGTTCAACGAGGTCTCGGTTCTAATCCAGATGTAGCCTGTTTCATTTGAAACCTTCAGAAAGGCGCCCTTTAGGATACGGCTGGCAAGGGTGTTCCTGCGTTTCTGCAGAGTTCTCAGCCACCAGGAGCTGAGAACTGAAATGAGGAAGGGTTCCTACTGGGAGAAAACCCGCTTAAGGACGAGGCAAAATGGAAGCGCTGTTTTAGAGGAGAAAATAATGAACGAGAATTATTTGTATGCGACGTGAAGAGTCCTTGGGCGCCCAAGTTGGGCTCTTGGCTTTGAGTATCTTTTTTTTTGGCACAGTTGGGTGTCTGGCCCTGGAAAAAGTTCCCAGCCATGAAGGGACTCATTCTGCCATCTTGGCATCTGGCACGAGCCATCTTTTGCCGACCAGGAATCAATGGAAAAAGGGGATCTTTTAAAGTGATTGAGTGCTTCTTCGGTGGTATTCTTTCAGTGGCTCAAACTTCTTCTTCCTCTTCCTCCTCCTCCTCTTTCTCCCTCCTCTGCTCCTCCTCCTCCTCCTCCTCCACCTCAAGTCTCAAAATATTTGTAAATCTGTGCCACGTATTGCATCACGCTTTGCCAATCCGGGCGATCGGTGTACATCATCTCGCTCAGCTCCTGCGGGAGGGAAGGAAACGGGGTGAGAGGAACAGGAATCCAGCGCAATTTCCCCCCAACCTTTTGGTTCCCCTTCTAGAGGAGTGGGACTCCCAGAATTCCCAAGGAGGAAAGCCCTGTGGGGAATTCTGGGAGCTGAAATAAACACTTCAGGGAGTCAAGATTGAATTGGACCAAGGGACGGGTGCACAAATGGTTGATTGATGGTAAATAAACATTTCTCAAGCTTGACAGCTTCAAGGTGAGTGGAGGAAACTCCCAGAACTCCCCAGCCAGATATGGGAATTGAAGTCTAAAAGCAGGCCGGCTGGAGGATTCTGGGAGTGGAAGTCTTCCCCTCTTAAAGCATCCTGGCTGGGGGATTCTGGGAGTGGAAGTCCTCCCCTCTTAAAGCATCCTGGCTGGGGGATTCTGGGAGTTGGAGTCCTCTCCTCTTAAAGCAGGCTGGCTGGAGGATTCTGGGAGTGGAAGTCTTCCCCTCTTAAAGGATGCTGGCTGGGGGAATCTGGGAGTGGAAGTCCACCCCTCTTAAAGCATGGCTGGCTGGGGGATTCTGGGAGTGGAAGTCCACCCCAATTTAAAGCATCCTGGCTGGGGGATTCTGGGAGTGGAAGCCCTCCCCTCTTAAAGCAGGCTGGCTGGGGGATTCCGGGAGTTGGAGCCCACCCGTCTTAAAGCATCCTGGCTGGGGGATTCTGGGAGTGGAAGTCTATCTTAAAGTATCCTGGCTGGGGAATTCTGGGAGTTGGAGCCCACTCCTCTTAAAACAGGCTGGTTGGGGGATTCTGGGAGTGGAGGTCCACCCATCTCCAAATGACCAAGCTTGAAAAATCCTTTAGCAGCTGTCTGAGCTAAGGGGCAGAGAATGCTGAATATTAGGGGGGGGGGGGGGGGAGAGACCTTGAAAATAAACAGAAACTGGAAGACGTTCAACCAACCATTGTTCAATTTGGAAGAGAACCTCAATGGGGCTGAATTAAAGTCTCCAGATTGTAAACCCTCCTCCCTGGCGGTGCTTCCTTCCTGCCCCTCCGGAGAGCCAAGAACCGCTCGGATCTCAGGCCTTGGCAGAGGGTCAAGATAGATATAACTCCTCTGAGCTCTTCCAAGCGTGCCAGCTGCCGCCCCCAATCCACTGTGCCCCAAAGCCGAAAGCAAGAACCATTTAATCCTCCTCGCAGAGCAAAAGTTAAGCCTCGCCAACACCAGTCCGGCTGCTTTGAAGGTGCACAAGAGGCGGAATAATACGATTTTTTTTTTAAAGGCAAGGAAAATAAAATTGACATTTGGATAATACCGAGAAGGGGCGATTGTTTGTACTGGCAGTCCTCGACCTTGCGACCGCAATTGAGCTCCAGAGTTGTGTTGCTCAGCGAGACAGTTGCTGAGCGAGATTTGCCCCATTTTACAACCCTTTTTTTGACATAGTCATTAAGTGAATCATTGAGGTGGTTCAGTTAGTAGCACACCTTCTGTCTCCTATTTTCCCCCAAACAGCAACCCTGCGAAGTGAGTTGGACTGAGAGAGAGGCGGTCACTGGCCCAGCAGCTTTCATAGTTAAGATGGGACTAGAATTCACTGTCTCCTGGTAATTAGTCTAAAGTCACCCAGCTGGCTTTCATGCCTAAGGTGGAACTAGAACTCACTGTCTCCTAATGACTGGCCCAAAGTTATCCATCCAGGTTTCATGCTTAAGGCAGAACTAGAATTCACTCTCTCCTGGTGACTTGATCAAAATCATCCAGTCAGCTTTTATTCCTAAAGTGGAACTAGAATTTACTGTCTCCTGGTGATTGGCCCAAAGTCACCCAGCCAGCTTTCGTGCCTAAGGTGGAACTAGAAATCACTGTCTCCTAATGATTGGCCCAAAGTTATCCATCCAGGTTTCATGCTTAAGGCAGAACTAGAATTCACTCTCTCCTGGTGACTTG